TCAGGATAATCAAACATCAGAAAATCAAGATTTCACAAGCGCTACGCACTGTATTTGTCGTCAAAAGAGAAATACAACCTCTGTTCTTTGTGTTTTGTGCAATGAAAGTTTCCATTGCAATTGTGTCGACTTCTGTACAGGTCTTGCAAAATTAATTAATACAAACTACTTCTGTACGAGCTGCATTTACAAACTTTCATACCCTTTGCGAATTATGTACTTCGTTCAACGGTGCCAACAACTGAATTAAATAGAGAGAACATAGGGAAGCTAAACGATGAATTCGCCGTCTGTCGTGTAGCAATTAGTGAGTTTGGGAAACGCATTAACGCGAACGCGACGGCGACGTCTGCGCGAAACAATTTCGCGGGAAAGTTTAAATTTGGGAAGTGCCGAAGTGACATAGAAGTTATAAACGTCTTTGATACAATGTCTAGTAGAGCAGATATATTGCATATACTGTTAATAGCTCACAATAATAGCTATATTTCTGATGCAGAGCTTCTTTGGCTGGATGCCAAGCTACGAAAAAATGATTTTGCACAGTCGAATTGTCCGTACAAAATATATCCTCCTTTCAATTGGGAAAATTACGAGGAAAATACGTGTCAAATGGAACTGCAGTTTGAGAAAGCTTACATTCTACGGCTAAAACATTGTTTAGGTATCCCAGACGAAATAAAATTTTACTAAGGAAGCTACTGCAATGGTCTAGAAGCACTTTGCATACTTTTAAAGAGGCTAGCTTATCCCGTTCGATACTGCAACATGGTTCGTACATTTGGACGATCTGTGCCAGATCTCTGTAAAATAACTTACTGAATGCTTAACTACGTGTATGACAGACATTCATACTTACTGCACCGATGGGATACGCCATTTTTACGGCCAGAGGCACTCCAATGTTATGCCAATGCTACCCATATTAAAGGGGCCCCCTTGAGAAATGGCTTTGGGTTCGTAGATGGAACTGTTCGCCCCATATGTAGACCAGAAAAACGCCAAAAAAGTGTGTACAACGGTCACAAAAGAGTGCATAGTATTAAATTCCAAAGTGTTGTGAAACCGAACGGGCTCATAGCGAATCTTTCTGGTCCATGGGGTAGGTTTCTAATAATTTACAAGTTCATCAGTAAGAAGAGTCAGGATAAACACAAAATATTTATTTATAAATATTTTTTCACAGAAGGAAGAAAAAACGATGCTGGGATGCTGGGAGAATCGGGTTTGATGAGAGATCTCGAAAGCTTTGCTCACTCTCCAACTGGTGAAGCTCTGCGTATCTACGGCGATCCAGCATATCCACTGAGAATTCATCTGCAAGCACCATTTCGCGACGCAAATCTCACAGACGAAATGAAAGCTTACAATAAAGCAATGAGCTCTGTTCGTGTTTCGGTGGAATGGCTCTTTGCGGAAATTGTGAAGTGTTTCAAGTTTGTAACTTTTAAACGAGGTCTTTCCATTGGATTAAGTCCTGTTGGAAAGATATACATTGTTTGTGCGCTTTTGCAGAATGCCCACGCATGTTTGTATGGCAACATTGTTTCAGATTATTTTCTACTTCAGCCACCAACCCTTGAAGAATACTTTCAAATAGAGTAAAGTTATCAGGGCCAGACGTAAACAAACTTGTTTAATTAGTTGACTATAAAAAGAGTTGAGTCAGATTTCTTGTAAAATATGTAAATTTCAGTCATAACAATAATATATTTGGTTTGGTGAACATACAAATAATTCGTTAGCGTGAATATACATGAACTGAATATTCTTTTTCTAGCCGAAATGCATAGAAATAATTTTATACTGACTTCTTTGAATATGAAAACAATAGACAAGAGTCACAAATCCCAGTCCTTCAAGACAGTGTCCAACTATAAAATAAACATCTTAACACTCGCAAAATTTTAAATCGAACAAAATATGCCTGGATATACAAAAGAATAACAGAACAAATGTAAGAATTACAGACTCTAGTCTGTCCAATCGATAAATAGCCTGCATACTCCTTGCAACAAATAAAAAAATCAAATACATACAATTTATATAGTGCATGTTCAGTCTTTTTTAGCCAATGCTATTAATGCCTGAAGCATACTTTCACCCCCTTTCTTCTGTGCTTCTAATTCTTCCCTACGAATCTCGATCTCCATTCGTTTCATTTCCAGCTCTTGTTTTTTAATGTCCTTGTTACACTCGGTTGTTTTGAGCAAGTAATCCACTACACTGCTTCAGTCTACGCTTTTTAGTTGAGCGTGGCGTGTCTGAGGACGAACTGCCATCTTCGTCGTCTGAACCTTCTCCGATTGCCCCCTCTGCACGTTTTTTGGTTTCACGAAATGTCTCCATAGCTGTTCGTCTTATCACTTCAGCTTCCGTAGCATATTTCGAGCGTGCAGCATCCTTGGCTTCTTTAGCCTTACAAGCAGTTTCTTCTTGACTTTCAAACTGGCCTATGATATCTTCCATCCCCATATCAAATTCAGTTGATTCAGGGTTCGTGCCACTTTCCCTTAGTTCGTTTGATACGTTCCTCTTGTATTTTGTTTCCAGCAGCCCGTATCTGTCGCGTAGGCTTCTAATGGATTTGAGATTAAATGAAACTTCGGTCTTGCCGTTAAGATTATCCACAATTTTTTGCCATGCTGTTCCAATTTGCCGAGAGCCTTTCGGGTGTTCGAACGGTCGTTCAGCAAGTATTTTGCGCAGTAAATGCATGTCGTGTGCTTCGCTCCATTTCATCGGTTTTCTACAAGATAAATGTTAATTTCTGATTATTTCTGTCTTCACTACTTAAATTGGTCATTTCACTGAAATTAAGAAGAAAAAATAGCGACAATATGCCAAACTTACTTGTCCGTAGCCATAATATTTTGACGTTTTCGAGAGGACGGCAAAACAGTGTATATAGACAGACTTAGATCGAGGACGGGAACGTCATGAGAACGTGAAAATATTGCGCAAGGTCTGGATCGAGTACGTCGTCGTGCTGTCAAAGTAAACAGACTTACATAAGTTTCCAGGACGCCAAAAGGCCCAAAAAAGAAGGAGAACATATTTCGAAAACGAAAAATGGGTCTTTATTATAAAATATCCGCAAATATTATTAATAATCTTCTTCAAGTGGAGGACTGTTTCGAAAGAAAGGTTTATCATATTTAACAATTAAGTTTTAATGAACTGTATAAAATTTTACGAACTGTTTTGATTCATAGTGATTAGTATTGTAATATCATAGATACTGTCTGAATGTTCATACAAGTATACCTTGTAAAATACTTATTATTATTCTTTTTTTCTGAAATTGTTCTATTGCTGTTTCTAAATTAAAATTTAGTCGTTGAAATCATAATCATGCGGCGTGATGTTCATATAGTTGTTGAGCTTGTTTTTAGTAAAATGGTTTACAATTTGCAATCTGCTCGCGATGCTTTAACTCTTGCTCGAGCTTAGCAGTATATCACTGATGCAGAGTTTATTGTGTTGTACGACTGCAACTGGTCGAAACCGTTGTTTCCATACTGGAAATTTGAGTCGTTTAACGCAGATAGTTGGGATGACGAAGAATGCCGGACTAAAATGCGATTTGTCAAGTGAGACTTGCCATTATTAAAGCAACTGCTTGGAGTACCTGATAAGATTACCTGTCGACAAGGAACAACGTGTTCAGGAGAGGAAGCACTTTGCTGAAAAGATTTGCGTATCCATGCAGATACTTTGATATGGTGAGCCGGTTTGGTAGGAATCCATCTGAGTTATGTTTGATTTGCAATGAAGTGCTGGATTTGGTGTATGAACAACATCATTATCGCCTTGACAGCTGGAATCAGCCTTTTTTGACACCAGAGATGCTTCAGAGTTATGCTGATGCTATTCATCATAAGGGTGCCCCATTACAAAATTGCTTTGGGTTTGTGGATAGAACTGTTCGGAAAATTGCACGGCCAAAATACAACCAAAGGACTATGTATAATGGTCACAAGAGGGCTCATGCCATAAAATTTCAGAGTGTTGTTGTGCCAAATGGTCTAATTCCTAACCTCTCCGAGAGAGTTACCCCTTGAGAGTTCACCTGCAGGCACCATTTAGGGATAAACAGCTGACACCAGAGATGAGAGAATTTAACATGAAGATGAGTAATGTGAGGGTAACTGTTGAGTGGATGTTTGGAAACATTACTAAGTACTTTAGCTTTGTTGATTTTAAGAGGCAAATGTAGGTAAATTTAAGTCCGGTTGAAAAGATTGATAGTGTGGCCGCATTACTACAGAATGCTCATACCTGCTTGTATGGGAACATTGTTTCTCATTTTTTTAACCTTCCACCACCTTCAATCCATGAATATTTCTAGCAATAACACTTACACATTTACTAGGTTATTGGGTAGTTAACAGCCCACCAGTTTATAAACAATATATGTATTTCACGAGTTTCCATGGCAATTTATAATGAATTTATTTAATGTTAAAATTCATGGTAATTGATTACAACAAATCATTTAATGTTGAAAATGTTACTATAAATATACAAATGAAAGAAACTTATTTTTTAAGATGAAAATGTAATATAATTAAAACTATTTTTTGAACATGTTCACCAACATTTGTGTTCGCTGTTGCTGTTGCTGCATCAAGGAAACAATTTGCTGCTGCATAAAACTGAATTCTTGTTTCTGCTGCTGCTGCTGCTGCTGCTGCTGTTGTTGCATTTGCAGTTGCTGCTGAAAGTACTGCTCCGATAGCTTCATCTGCGTGATAAATTGCTGCTGGGTTTGCTGCATCAGCTGCAAAGTTTCCATGTGTTGCCTCTGTTGCCCTTCCATATATGCTCTCTTCTCTTCCTGCTTTACCTCTTTTTCTTCTTTCTCCACTCCGATAGCTTCATCTGCACAATAAATTGCTGCTGGGTTTGCTGCATCAGCTGCAAAGTTTCCATGTGTTGCCTCTGTTGCCCTTCCATTTATGCTCTCTTCTCTTCCTGCTTTGCCTCTTTTTCTCCACTTCTATTCTTTGTTGTAGCCATTCCATCATATCACCAGAACTTCTTCTCTTTTGTACTTGTCCAGCAGTTTCACTTGTCCCTGCAGTTGTCTTCTTTGTTTGTCGAATTCTTTCCATTGCCCTTTCTCTCATTTCCAAGGCTTGTCCTCTTTCTTGCTCAATCCTCTGATTTCTTACTTCATTTTCATCCTCCTGTCGTTCAGTTTCACCTTCAATGTCAATCAGCTCTTCCAACAAGCGCTCCTGCTCTGAGTTCATTACCACCTTCCCCTGTCGATCTTTCCTCTCGTTCCATTCTTGCTCGATACTTCTTGGTCATCATGTTGAAGTGATCTCTGACTGCCCTTGATGTGAATTCGTGGCCCAACCCACTTATTATCTGCAACATTCTGCCACTGTGCACCACGTTCCCGGGATCTCTGTTTGTGTGTGAGTACACCTTCTGCTGCAACTTCCTTTAGAAGTGTGAGATCTTTCTCATTAGACCATACCATACTGGACCTAAGAAAAAATATTGAAGGCTGAATGAGCAAACCCACACAACACTGCATGTATAAAGTTCAAGTATGCATAGTATGACAAAATATTAGTTACCATTTGAATTGTATTATTTTATTAATTTGTACTTTAAATTGTACTTTATATTAAACTTGATAGTTTGTAATGATGTTACTATGTATTTTGCTTACTTTTTCTTTGAACAATCCTTTTTCTTTTCCATATTTGGTTTTCTAAAAGGACCACCATTAAATCTAAAAACAAAATATATAACATAAATATAAAAAGCTTATTTAGCAATTATACGAGCCGATATTTATACACAATTATAACATCCTCGATAAAATCCATCTATATAAACAAATCCATTTGTAAATCCGAGTTTGTATATAAAATGAAACTGTAAAAATTAAACTTTCTTTAAATCCATATTTACACAAGTTAGAGAAAAGAATATCAGTAAATATGAACATGAAACATAAAAGGCCGCTAGCAGAATTTGTAATACAAACAGCTCTTAAACTTTGTTTACAAGATGCGAAACCGGAAAACGAATCGAATTACTTATGCCATAAATGAAATAAATACGCATATTATTTTAAAAATAACAATAAAACAATGACTAATGACATCATTTATACATTTATACTTTGTTGTCTACATACCTTTTCGCAAGGACAAAAACAACAAAAACTTTGACGTCCTAGACAGGACGTGAAAATTCGTTTTCGGCGTCCTGAAAATAGGTAAGACGACGTCGCCATCTGAGACAACGCAATATTTTTGCGCCATATTACGCTATCTCGCGTCCTCTTAACGTCACGTCCTCGATCTAAGTCTGTCTAATGCCGTTGTGAACAGAACTTCAGCAAACGCGACATCGTCAACTTAAACTCGATCCAGTCCAACCGCGCAAAATTCAACGTTGCCGTCGCGTTCGCGTTGCGTTTCCCAAACTCACTAATGTTTTCTCCGTACCGCCGGAACCACAAAAGAAAACATTGTGGCCTGCCAAAGCAAGGTCAAGAACATTCGTTTGTTCTTGATTGAGCAGTTCACCCCTAGGGATACAACGTTCAAGAATCTCTATTCGTTATAAAGATAGTATATAAATCGCCCGAAAAACATTACTAAAATAACATTCTCAGCGTTCGTTTGGCATATATCATACTTACATAACTTGGACTGCTGACAGACATAGAATATATCAAATCCAAATAATGTTTCTATTGCGGAAAGACATTTGTCTCTGTTTACTCCACTGAGCTATATAATAACTCCTGGAGGATCGGCTCCTAATGTTTTTTGCTCAAAAAGTGAAGCAAAAAACATGGCGGATTTTGGCCTCTGTTACGTCATTTTGACGTCACCTGGTCCCCTTTGCCCATAGTAATACCACTGACCAGGCTCAATTCTGAGCCCGCTACAGTAATTCCCCCCCTGGTTTTTATGAATATTTTGTATTTTTGTTTCTTCCGACTGCCTTGAAACCTTGTTGTTCTGTTTTTTCGATATATTTTTTACCTAACGCGTAATAAAGCGTTTATTTCGGTTATGTACAAGTCATAGGTACTGTTTTTGCCAATGCCGAAACAAACAAATATTGGGCGAACATAAAAAAACTATTTAATACGTGGACAAAGTCGAAAATTTTACAATGATATGAAGCTGAAAGGTTTTTTCTCTTTTCTTTGTTTTCAATTTCAATATACATTACTGTATAAAATTTTTTTGGTACCGTCGTAATTCTTTAATGTCTTTTATGGATACCAATCTGATTTTTCTTAAACCCTAAAGTAAAAGATTACAGAAAGTATCCAGTTATGTTGTCTTGTGTCCATGCCTGTGCATATTAAATCCAAAGAATCAAGGCCTAAGCTCATGCAAGATATTGGGCAGCAGATTAGCAATTGTACTGAGTGGGGGGGGATACAATAGTTATAACCAGAAGTGATATTTACATGGCATAGGTCATACCTTGTGCCTCAATGAGCTACAGACGATGTATACGCTTTTTGTAATGCACCTTAGTTTAAACCTGTAAATGTGTCATTGATGATTGATTGATGATTCAGTCATTGATGATTTGTATTTGATATGAATTATACTAATAGCAGGAGTAGTAAAAATACAATAGCCTAATGAATTCACAAAAATGCAACTGTGCTTGTTCACCCCTCCATTAGTCAGTCTATTATCCAAAACCCTGATTAGCCAATAATTTTAGCCTTTAATGGTGTGTGGGGGAAATGCATTGTCCAGGAAATTATAAAAGTTGTTGCAGATTGAAGACACACTGCTCAATTAATGCATGTTTTCATGCATTTATTTATTATTTTTAATCGGAAAAACCATTGTAAAAAAATGTCAGCCAACAACAGCCAACAACAGCCAACAACAGCCAACAAGTCTATATAGTAAAATTATCAGTACAATGTTCCAGTAATTTGCATAACAAGCCATCTCTTGTTAAATTCTATAGCATCTTCATCCTGAAAAATGGAGATCTTATTAAGATTAACTGTATTCAATATATACAGTACTTTGCACCCAGAGAGAATAACAATAATACTAATCATCATTAAGAGCAAATTAAATGTAGATTGATTATAAACAATTTTGCAAGAAGTCCATTAAACCATGATAAATTGACTTTTGACAAGGCAAACAAGATAACATATTAGACCTTTAACAGCTGCTACAAGTCTACCAGAGGTTGAATCTTAGAGTGAAATATTTTGTATCAGCAGTCAGCACCTCAAAATTCAAAACATTAATTGCTGATAACTTTCGCCTGACACAAAAAAGTTTTCCTATGAATCCTATCGTAATTAAGTCACGTACTAAAGAACAAAAAGGCCAATAAAAACATATAACTATTTATCCAGACGCTTTTGCAGTTGTTTATGCTATAGTCCGAAGGCAAAAAGAAAAATAATTTGAAAACCGGCTCACCTGAGGCAAAAATAGCTTTCCCGATAAGTGAATTAAGCCATTCACAACGTCATATGTAGAGCAAGAAGCCGCTTCTCCATTTACTTTGTCGAACAGGGAAAAAGATAAACAATTTTATCTTTTTTAGAGCAAATACGAAAAAAATATATACCAAAAATCAAATATATTTTCGTAAAAACCAGGAGGGAGACACATAGTTTTTTACTTTGTATCGCAGTATGCCAGTGGTAATTACCATGAGCAAAGGGGACCAGGTGACGTCACAAAGCTCAAAATCCGCCATGTTTGTTGCTTTACTTTCTGACAGTGAACCACTGAGCTATAATATAATTCCCATAGAGATTATAAATAAACACTAGAGAGGTCATCGAGGAGAAATTGGGGAGCGCGTTAATGGGGGGCAAATTCAAGTCCCGGATGTTCACTCATTCACGATGTCCGAGGCCAAAATAAGTCGTTTTTAACGAGTTTTTTTGGTTTCTAAATGTTTTTCTGCCTAAAATATCATTTCAGGATGTCTAAATTAGTAAAACCAGTTTCAAAAAGCACTGTTTTTCCTTAAAAAACCGGCAAAGCGACCAAAATAACGAATATAATTTTTTTAAAATCGTTGTTAACGTGGTTGCTAAGGAGGCATTGATCTAGCCAATCAGCGCTTGGCTTAGCATCCGGGACTTGAATTTGCCCCCCATTATCGCGCTCCCTTTTTTGACTGATGTTTCTGATACCAATGCCTCCTCTAGTTTTTATTTATAATCTCTATGATAATTCCTGGAGGACCGGCCCGCGACCAAAAAGTGAAGCAAAAAACATGGCGGATTTCGGCGTTTGCTGACGCTAGATTGACGCCACTGATTCCTATTCGCCATGGTAGTTACCACTGACCAAGGCTCAATTCTGAGCCTGCTACAAATGCACTCCCCCCTGGTTTTTGTTAAAAATAGTATTCAGTTCTCATTATTATATTTTCCGAAAAAAATTTAAACGTCAGTCAATATTTTTGAACTGAAAACTTTTTGATCAGATATGTTCGACGTTTTTGTGAAGATATCAAAGTCGTACACGTTACTTCTGTCAAAAACAGGAAACAAATGACAGATAAATAATAAAACTTCAACGAAAATGCAGTTGTGACTGACAGGTAAATATATTATTTATAAATTTCATTTTTTAGATAAAATTTCACCATTTTTTTTCGTTAACAGTCTTTAGATAGATGTCGTTGTTTATATATTTTAATATTTGATTAAAAGACGGCGGCACGAGAAGTCAAATGTATAGTTTGAAGTTTGAACAACTACTAAAAAGATTACCCCATACTTTGGAAGTAATTTATTTTACATATTACATACATATATTACAGGCATTTTCTTCCAAAGAACGCTAAAAGGTAACATGATGTAAATTCAAGTCCAAAGAAACAGAGGCTAAGAATCATTGGGAGGATGAAGATGTGCAATTTCAACCAAGGGTAGCCTGCCTATTTGTTTAGCTGGATTTCATTAGCCAGAAGAAATAGTTTTTCTGTACTGAACTATATCAGCATATATCATGAATATTGATGAGCTTTTTAGCTTAAACCTATAAGGATGAACTATTAAATTGAAAGCTTCCAGCAGTCAGCACCATGCAGTGGTCAGCACTATAATTGTCTGACTGCACAGGCTATGCTCTTTCCATGGTACAAAACCAATAATTATGGCCCCTGTGCAGGTCATATGCTTTTTTATATTTGCAAATGATAATGCAGAGGCTGCATTAAGGAAGATTAGAACCACGGATGTTTATAGGCCAAGATAGCCATGGTAATTATTATTGATTATATGCAAAGGGAAGTTACCAGCTTCTCCAGATTAGCCTGCAATGACTCGAAATTTTCTTTGGAAATGAAATAAACAAAGTCTTACCAATTGTAATATTTATTTTCTTTTAATGAAACATTGTATTTTGTAAAAATAATAAAACAGTTTCTGTATTTTAGAATGTGTTTAGTTCATGGGTATAATAGTATGGTTGTCTCATTTTAATTCTCCAGAATTTTGCATAACATGCCTCCACTTGATCTACCAAACCCTATGTTATCCCTGCAAAAAGAAAGATATGCCAGAGATTAACTGTATGTATAATACACCCTGTAAGTGTTGACAAAATTAGTACAGATAATTTAGTGTCAGCTACTGAGGCCATGATGATGCCTCAGTTGGAAGTGTGAGTGAATTTAGGCAAGTTATTCTCAGACCTTGCTCCTTCAGATTATATTTTTGTTCCTGTCATGGATTTAAATCAGTGTAAAATATAATGGATAAACAAATATTAACAGAAATATGTTGTAGTTAAACAAATTAAATGTTAGTAAATATATCATTTCTGTTTTCAGATCTTTCATAGCCGTCGAACTACGAAGCTATATTTTTTACTTGACGTTCAGAGTTCAAACATCAAAATTGCGAAAGCCTTTTTAAAACTCTTACCTGAGTGTAAATCGCCAAAAATTTCCTCTTTAATGAGTAAATTGCGGTAGGAACAAGCAGAGCAAATAGCTGCTTCTTTGTTGAAGTTGAAAAGAACCAGCAAAAAAAAAAAAATCCATGTTTTTGTTCAAAAACAAAAAATTTCGTAAAAACAAAATCCTGTTTTTATCGAAAACCAGGAGGGTGCTAGCATTTTTTCATGCTTTGGATCGCGGTTGGTCAGTGGTAGCTACCATGGCAAATAAGAACCAGTGAACTCTAATAAGACTGGAACGATAACTGTATACCAGCGCGCTCATCAATCGGTGAAGCCAAGTTTCCGGCCTGTTCGCAGGTATTTCGCGGGGAGTTCGCGTTCTTTCTCGCGGGGTTTCACAGAAGATCGAAGGAAAAGCTAAACGAAAGCATGGTTTGCGAAGGGTTTTTTTCCGATTTTTTATCCGATATTTGCGATCAATCAATTGAAGAAGAAATATTATCCAAAGTAAATTAATCATGGACATCTGTAACAACTTTGACAAGGAACAAGAAAGTCGTTGTTGCGAAAAGTTGATCGACCAAACACAAAATATGATGCTCGAAATTATGTTTGTGAAAGACAAAGATTTATTTTAAAAAGGGCAACGATGTTTCAAGGTGAGATGTAA